GACTCCCCCAGCGCCTGCTGATCCCCCCTAACCAGTTTATAACAGGCCACAAGATCCCCCCTCAGCCTTCTCTTTTGAAGACTGAACAGGTTCAGGTCCCGCAACCTTTCCTCATAGGACCTACCCTGCTGTCCCTTGATCATACGAGATGTAGGATCTGAACATTGATATTATAGAACTTCCTGTATTTTGAGTTAATGCAAATTATTCTGACTTCAGGATTGATAATAATTAAGTATTAGTATCACTATATATGCCTTTGTTGTTCCTTACTCCTGTGTGCATCACAGCACAGCAGGTCTAAATGCCTACCTAATACTGTTCAGCTGTCCCTCTAGCCATTTCCCTTCCTAGCCCTACCTTCCCTCCCTACTGTGTAAAATAGCAAATTCCTCTCCAAAGGAGATGTAACTGGCAGCCACAAAAGGACACTGAATTACTCATCACAGATAGGCAGTATAATGCCTCCCAGAACAGCTTAAAATCTGAAAGGGTAATAGGAGTTTAAAGCTATCTTGGTCTGAGTTTTCATCTCAGCACCACTGAACGAGTAGAAGACTGGGTTTCAGCAGGGTCTGGAAGGTAGGACTTCTGTTTCCACACGTCATGGATAGCTTTCACCTGTGAGAATATTAAATGAGTTCTGCTCCTTTAACCTCAATCTCACATGTATGAGTTCTCATGCATGCACACAGACACAGACACACACACATGCACGCACAAATACACTCCCTTATAATTCTAAAGATTAATATGATATTTCCAAAAGACTGACAGGATTGGATGCAGTAACTATCAATCACAAAGACTCTCATGGACCCAGAGGGACAGACTTCCATCTTCAGCTCCCTCTGTGCAAAAATGAGGTTTATTCCCTACCTATGGGGACTTTTTACCACCTTGTATGATCTACACTTTTCCCAGAGCCTGACAAAGGGACTTTGATCCCAAAAGCTTGCAGAAAAGGACAGTTTTCATGCCATTTTCCAGTTGGTCTAATAAAGAGTATCATTTTGGAACCAAGAGTTCTAGTTTTTTGTATGTCTCTTTGCCTCAGACCAACACGGCTACAAACAAAGTACACCCCTGTAACAATCAATCTTCATTCAAAGACTGGTCATGCCCCTGACCAGTGTTTTCATCTCTGTATTTGATCCATTATTCTTAAGTGTATCTTGCTGATTTATGCTCATTGATTTAATGAATGCCTAAATGAACCAGATGACAGATGTTCTGCCAAATTCTCTCCCTTCTTTTGGCACTTTAAATTATTCTGTATCCTTGACCCTGCATTTAGATTCATTTAGATGTTCATCCTGGAATTACCTGAATGGATGAATTAGAAGCAGGAAAAGAATGAAATGATCAGGATAAAACATTAATTTCATGTTGAACCATTCTTTGAGATTTTTTTGGATAGGGTATCTAAAACTCCCTTAACAACAAGATGAGAGGAATATTTTTAGTGAAGTATATGTTACGAGACTGATCCTAGTTTGCATATATACTTTGTTGATTCACACCAGGAAAAGCAAAAAACCTCCCTAAACCCTAGCAGTGGTTTTAAGTTAGAAGATATGATCCCATATCTCCACCCACTTTGTTATGGAGATTAAATGTATCTGGACCTTTAAGGAAAAGTAGCAAATATCTATGAAATATTTGAAGTCATTGTAGACTTTATTGTACTATATCAGGGTATAGACAGATGTAAAACTGTATCAGTATCAAAAGATACAATAAAAGTTATATCTGCGTGATTCCATAGCAAAACCAATATAACTTTAACCCTGTTTCATCTGGGGTCAAAGGGGAAGTAGTTCAGCTAATTTGTATCATTATAGGCTTATGCAGATGTACCAAGTTGCATCATAACAGCTGCTGCGAGTTCCCCCTCCCCTTTCAAAGTAGCTAAAAAATATGTTTGTCCATACCCTTAATGTTCATCACCCTCATTCAGTGTCATTCGGACTTCCCAGAATTCTCTTATTTTAATGCAAAACTTTAAAAAAGACTATTTATTAAAGCTCTGAAGTGACCCTTTTTAGTATGGTCCAAAGTTAAGCTCAGTCATGCAAGGCTAAACTTTTAGAACTGATTATTTAGCATTGTAAAATCACATAGATACAGAAAGGTAATGATCACTGTATTTCACAGATGAGCCTGTAATCAAATGTTTTGTGTTGACAGAATGGTTATACTCCACTGCATATAGCTGCCAAGAAAAACCAGATGGATATAGCAACAACATTGCTTGAATATGGTGCTGATGCTAATGCTGTAACCAGACAGGGTATTGCTCCTGTTCATCTTGCAGCCCAGGAGGGCCATGTGGACATGGTGTCATTACTCCTTACTAGAAATGCTAATATGAATCTTAGCAACAAGGTAATTTTTCTTTCTTTTCTGCTGAAGGTAAAAGTGTAGAACCATAATAACAAGGGGGCCTGGAAAGGGAATTTTACCTTTTTATTCTATAAATTTCAAAAAGCACAGCAGCTTTTTGAATCAATACCATCATTACTTCTAGCAGAGAGAACAGAGCAGAGCAAGTACCATATCACATCAGACCAATTGTCCATTTTTTCTTGTATCCAGTCTTTGATAAAGGCCAATACCAGATGCTTCAGATTACTATGTAAACCCTCCTCTTCCCTTTTTCACAAAAGATAGTTTTGCATAACATGCCCCTGGGAAAATTTCTTCTTGACTCCAGGTGGTTAGTGAGGTTTGCTTGTTATATTTATGCACTCTATACACATGCCTGCCCATTAACCATGTAACCTTGTAAAGAAAAACTGATTTATTATTGAATAATAGCAATATGGTTGTCTGAGATTTTGTAAATTAGTTAAAGTGACTTGAATTGCCCTGAGGTGGGTGCAACTTTAAACCCCAGGTTTTACTGATATTTATTAGGGCTATGTGAAGCTTCAGGTGCTGATTTGATTTGGAGGAGATTCAGCTCAATTCAGCGGCCGAATCTCCGAATCCAAATCGAATTGGGAAACCAATAAAAAGGTTCAAATCAATTCAGAGCCTCCAAATTGGTTTGGAAAAGACTCAGAGAAAGATTTGGAGATTCAGGGAGCTGGACCCAGGCTCCATGCTGGTAATTGGAGGGGAGGGGGACTGGAGGAGGGCGGGGACCATGGGGTGACCCCCACC